TTTCTCCCATTTTAAGAAGGAATTGGAGGCTATGAGATACTGATGAAATGTCAGTAACTCATGGCTTCCAATTCCTTCCTAAAACTCATAAAAGTGGACATTACATGCATATAAAATTTGACATGTAAAGTCCACTTTTTGCGAGCGGGGATTTGACTCCGTCAAATCCCCTTTTTCGTTTACGAGAAAAATCCGCAAACATTCCCGAAGAAAAAAATTGACACACCAATGATGATGTTGTCGGTTTTTTGGGGCGTAAATGACATCATCGCAATTGATATTCTTCAAAAACCTAATACGATGAATGCTCAGTATCTAATTGACAATGTTCTTACTCAAATTATCAATTCTGATGAGTTTGAGAAATCCAAACAACAAAAACAAAAGTTTGCAATTCATTTTGATAATTCAAGAGTTCACAAAAGTCATAAGGTAATGAATTACTTGGTGGAAAACAATGTCAAAGTTGTTCCAAACCCAATTTATTCACCTGATATTGCACCCTCTGACTTTTATTTATTCGGCACGCTAAAAAAGAGAGCTGAAGGACGCGAATTCGCGAGTCCAGATGATCTTGAAAATTTTGTAAGAGAGCAATTTGAGCAATTTTCTCATGATGATTTAAAGCGTGTCTTTCAAGCCTGGATCGATCGCTGCGAACGCGTGATTGAATCCAATGGTGATTATATTTAAATAAACTTTATATATATGTAACTTGTTTATTTCTATTCGCAGTATTCAGGTTTGTGCTAAACACACCTTTGGACACCCTATACTTTAAAACCATCGTGACAAAATTCAAAAACGAAGAGTTCTTCTCTCCAAATTTTTTTCAAAATCAAAAAAATGAGATAAAAAAGTACGTTTGGAAAATTCATTTTTAGCATTTTAGGAATTTTCTCACTTTTCTTCCAAATTGACATCCTTAATTAAATTAAATTACACATTAACACCGGAGCCGGAATCATCTTGGATATCAGATGATGATTTATCTTTAGATGGTTTCCTGCAGAAAACGAAGTAGATGATGAGAATAATAAGGATAACAGCAAGAAGAACGCCAATAACAATACCAGCCTTCTGTCCACCAGTAAGTCCACTATTTTCAGGTGTTGGAGTTGGCTTGGAATCATCAGGGCTTGGTGCAACGTATTGTTGTTTCTGAAGTGAAACCTCTGTTTCAATGATATTGGATTGAGCTTGATCTTTGGATCCAGCTAACCTAATTTGAAGTTTAACTTTCCCATCTTCTTTGATATCTTCATACTTTGGAGCTGGAATGTTGAGTAGATATGTTTTGCCTTCGTCGGCATGTAATTTCTTAATTGCAGATGGGGTTTCTACTTCAGTTACATTGTCGTCTGGGAGATCTATCCATTTCTGATCTGCATAGAATCTATATTGGAAGTTTCCTGTCTTTGCCTCAAAGTGTTGTAATGTAACTTTAACTGGAATATATTCACCGGCCTTGAATGGTCCTGTATGATTTTCAGCAACAACAGTTGGCGCAGATAAATATGGAGACTTTCCAAGAGAATATGTAACATTGCCGGTACCTAACTCGGATGTATGATTGGCGGCGAACTCAACAACAACAAGTAACTTTGTCTTATTATGATCCTCTGGAGCGTTAACTTTGAAAGTCCATTCTGTCTTGTTCGTGCTTGCTACGGCTGTTGCAGTGCTAACATTTTGTGATGTTTTGACGCTAGTGACAGAGGCGCTGGAAGCTTGCTTTCTGTTGCAAAGAGATAATATGTCTTTGTAATTTTAAGCTTTTGAGTATGATTTTGGCTGAGTATAAATTGCCTGAAATTACTTCGTTGCCATCGTTGTAAAGAACTCTATCGATAACTGGTGTGGAGAGTGTGTCAGAATATGTAACATTGCCGGTACCTAACTCGGATGTATGATTGGCGGCGAACTCAACAACAACAAGTAACTTTGTCTTATTATGATCCTCTGGAGCGTTAACTTTGAAAGTCCATTCTGTCTTGTTCGTGCTTGCTACGGCTGTTGCAGTGCTAACATTTTGTGATGTTTTGACGCTAGTGACAGAGGCGCTGGAAGCTTGCTTTCTGTTGCAAAGAGATAATATGTCTTTGTAATATTTAAGCCTGTTTGAGTATGATTTTGGCTGTGTATATTGCCTGAAATTACTTCGTTGCCATCGTTGTAAAGAACTCTATCGATAACTGGTGTGGAGAGTGTGTCAGAATATGTAACATTGCCGGTACCTAAGTCGGATTATGATTGGCGGCGAACTCAACAACAACAAGTAACTTTGTCTTATTATGATCCTCTGGAGCGTTAACTTTGAAAGTCCATTCTGTCTTGTTCGCTTGCTACGGCTGTTGCAGTTAAACATTTTGTGATGTTTTGACGCTAGTGACAGAGGCGTGGAAGCTTGCTTTCTGTTGCAAAGAGATAATATGTCTTTGTAATATTTAAGCTGTTTCGAGTATGATTTTGGCTGTGTATATTGCCTGAAATTACTTCGTTGCCATCGTTGTAAAGAACACTCTCGATAACTGGTGTGGGGACTGTGGAAGAATATGTAACATTACCGGTACCTAAGTTGGATTTATGATTGGCGGCGAACTCAACAACAACAAGTAACTTTGTCTTATTATGATCCTCTGGAGCGTTAACTTTGAAAGTCCATTCTACTTGTTCGTATTTATATCCAGTGAAGATAGAATAGAAGTTTGGAGATGGTGTATAGAACTTTATACCTCGAACTGAAAAATCTTCTAACTTTGACAATAAGATATCCCAAGCATCTAACATCTTCCTTCCAACTTGTACAACTTTTATTTTCTTAAGTTTCTGTCTACATTCTTGTTCAGACACTATTGTTGCTCTTGGTTTGTTAAAGACAACATCCCATTCTTTCATGACATAACATTCTGGGGCAGAGTCAACATAAATGACTAAACGTTTCAAATTCTCGACTGCTTTGTTATAGTCTCGAAATGGACACATATTTCTGAATGCTTGGAAGTCATAAAAATCTGAAACATCTATTCTGTACATTTTTTTATAAAAATAAAAAAAAATATTTTTTTATTCTTGAGCTTGTTGTTCCATTTGTTCCATTTGTTGCATTTGTTGTTCTTGAGCTATTTGTTGTTGAAGTTGTTCTTGTAATACAATACTTTCACCAGTTGCATCTTCCAATTCGAAACTTTCTGCCGTCATTGACAAATACATAGGACATAAAAGTTTTACAGGAACAAAGTTTGCGTCAACTAAGGTTAAGTTTATGTTTGCTAAAGTGTTTGAGTTTACTAAAGCTGAAAACTCTGCATTCGAATGAACAATAGGCAAACCAGCAGAGAAAGTATTGTTTATACGCATAAGTATCTTTTGGTCATAATAGTTTCTGTCGACATTCGAATAACACTTTGAACCTAAGTTTGAAACAATATATAAGATTGGTGTGCTTAAAGTCAATGGAACAGACATTCCTTGTATGACACCTTTTCCTGTTATAGGAAACTGTTGGTAGTAAAAACCAGATATAAGTTTTGTATTATAACTCATATCGTTTATAGTAAACTCAGTCGGACATCCAAACATAATGAAACCTGCTCTAGTTGCAGCACATGTTACACCCGTCCTTAAAGTATTAAATAAGTCAACAAAACCTGTTGGTGGTATATCTGAGTAAGTATCTTCAAAGGAGTATTTTTTACCATTCACAACAATAAAGTCTTCTGGTGTCAAAAGAGCAAAACAGGCTTTAGTCGTCATTGTGTTTAAGGTTAGTTTACAATATCGTCCTTGAGGACTTTGTAAGTTTGTTGTTATAGAATTATATGACTCAGGGTTTTTAGTCGTAATAGTATAAACCATTATGTCTTCTGCCATTTACTTAGCAAATAAATTTTAATGAAATGTTGTGGTCGTCAAATATTTTTATAACGTCTGGGAAACTATATTTTAAGTTCAACGTTTCACCTCCTTTCATAACGTATATCTTGTCAATGACATTATATGAAACACCACAGCAACTAATGTCGGGTTCTATTTCTTTGATGTTTATATCGTCTGCCTCTGTCAAAAGTTTCAATAGTTCTTTCAAAACTTCATGAGGTGCAATGACATATGAGTTCACTTTTACAGGGTTGTGTTCGACCAAGTTTAACATTATACTTAAAGCTTGACAAATCTTCTCCTGAGTTTTAAGTTTGTCTTTCAGTTGTTGGTAGTCGTTTCGAATATCTGCAACAGAACTTAAGTCTCTGCTAACTTCAGGATATGTTGGTTGTTCTTTTACAGGAACTATTGTTATACCATCTTCGTCTTCGTATGGTTTCCCCACTTCAACATCTCTGTCTTTGACATTGACAACAACACTTTGACTGTTTGTTTGAGTTGGTGAATTTAACTTCACATCTGCCACCGCCATTAAACCTTTTGAAACACTTACACTTCTATTTTTCGGAAATGACATTTTACTTAGAATAAAAAGATGGACGTATTCAGATATCTCTTCGAATTGAAGCAAAACAAAGTTTACACACACAAACAATACAAATACATTGACAGAATAGTTCTTTACACAAACAATGGAAAATGTTATAGAATAGCAGTCTTTGCTGAACCTAAATATTTTCATAAAGCAAAGAAAGTTGGTATAACTGAAATGGTGAAAGTTCTTGAAGCAGACAAAAATATAACTTCAAAACTTACAGATATTTCTAAAGGAAAGTTTATAATACAATATTATGTCAAAACTGGCGTACTGTCAATATTTGACGGAGAGAAGTCAGTTCAAGAACAACTTACTGACCTGCTGCCAAAATCTGCTCGATGGAAGCTGTCGTTATGCCAATCTGAGGAGCCCCAGCAGGTTTCATCGAACGAATTTTCAAAAGAGCATCTTCCGTGAAAAGTGCTATTGGTTTTGTAAACTTCTTTGCTTTCAATTCATCTGGACCGTCTCTGTCACCAGTATATTGTATTTGAACTGTACCAACAGTTGAAATACCACCCATAAAGTCTTCTGAGTCAGCAAATGGAATGCCAAGCCAAAAGTTTGAACGGTCTCCATTTGTATATTGAGTTTTTTGACCTCCTGTATGGGTCCATACTTTCACATATGGCATAATAGAACTTTGCATTTCAGGGTTAATGGTTGTTGTGAAGTTGTTGTTAAAGTTCATAGCATCTAATGTCAAGTTGTATGACCTCATATCCTCAACTGTAGAATATTCTTCTCTTGGATAATATTTGCCATCTATGTTTATATGATATTTAATACCAGGGTTGTAGAAACAAGAATAGTCATTTATAGTTCGTCTGAAAAGAACAAACATAGTATCTGCATGTTTCATTGCAGTTGTTAAGGCAATATCTGTTCTTGCACCTGGGTCAGCACTTTGGTTTCCAACTTCACCTGCAAAGTCTTTGACAGATATTTGGTGTATAGGGAACATAAGTGGAACTGCAATATATTTGGCAGCTAAAGCATTTGAAATATCTGGGTCCAACATATAGACTGCAAGTCTGCTTTCTATTCTCTTGCATTCAAATTTTTCGCATGTGAACTTAACTGGGTCCCAAGCATCTCCAGCAGCATTGAAATAATAGTTTACTTCAGTGTTGAGGTTTGAGAAACCAAAGTCTAAGTCAACTTTGTCTTTGCAAAATTCGGCGAATGACGTTTTATTTGTTCCCTTTACGTCTGTAAGAGTGAATGGGTCTTGTGTTGGTGCAATGACTAAGTTATTTTTGCTTGGAGTAAGTTCGATAGAAATTTTTCCTGCCCAGTTTGGCAAGTATCTTAAAAACCTGAAGATGAGGAAAGATGACAAAGGAACTCTAAGTTTCAGTTTTACTTTAGTGGCAGCAGTTCCATCTGAACCAGAAAGGTTAACATAAACTCCTGGAACGTTAGGGTCAAGTCTTCTTATTTTCTCAATAGTTGCATACTGGTCTGTTTGTTCTCTAGCTTGTGGTTGTACTGAGTTTCTTAAAGCGAACCATTCATAGTTTGCCCATGTTACTGTTTGAACTAAGTCAGAGTTAGAATATATCTTATATCCCATGAAAACTTCTGGAGCATATTGGTATCCGACATAGAAAATTCCATTGCAACCTTTCTTTTCAGACAACTTGGCAGAAGGTTTTATTTCAATGTCTTGTTCCACGTATAAGAAAGAGTTGTCAATAGAAATAATATGAAACCTGTCGCAAGCAATATCTACTGTTGTTGAAGAACCTTCTCCAAACTCACCTACGTTTCCATAAGAAACAGCAGTTGTATATTCGTAAGTTCCAGGAACTATTTCTGACCTTCTAATGGCATTGTCGCATTCGTTATACCATTCGGAAACATTTCCATTCATGGCATCCAAAACTGTTGGCGTTATATTCTGAGCGGCGTACATTTCATATGGGTAAAAATATAGAATAGTTGGATTTATATGTCATAATAGAACCCACTCGGACCAAGCTTTACTTTCTTCCTGACTGAGTTTTTAACTCTTCTTTTTCCTTCATTGCCACTACTTTCACTAGATGAAGTTACTTCTTCACTACTTTCACTTTGTTCTACTCTTCTCTTCTTCTTTGGTGTCGCTTTTGGTAACTTGCCCTCTGCTTCAAGTTGTTGCATCTTTGCCTCATGTTCACCTAGTATGTTGTAAATTTCCCATGTCCTTTTTGCCTTTGGGCTCTGGTCGCCCATCTCAGGTAACCTATATCCTAGAAAGATTTTGTCATAGTTTGTATTTGAGTCTTCGCGTATTGTTTGCATGACTCTTTCCTGAGTTTCCGGTTCAAGCTCTTCAAACAGAGCTTGTCCATATGGAATAAGCTCGTTTCCAAATATATGTTTTTGTAGCCATTCTGGTTTTCTTTCCATGTTACCAATAATATCTTTTGTGAATGGGAAAGCTTTTACCCAATGTTTCAGTCTTTCGTCATTTATTTCTGTAGTTGGTTTTATTTTGTCAAGGAACATGTTTTTCAATACTAACATTTCATTTGGTACTGTCCATTTGAGTTTTCTTAAATATTCATCCCTTCTCGGTTCATTGTCTGCAAAGTAAGTTTTTATGACATTTTGTAAACTTTCGTTTGCAAGGTCATGTACAATAGGTTCTCTTCCTTCTCTCTCCCTAACTGTCTTTCTAAACTCTTCACCAAATATACCATCTCTATGGTTCTGTGTAGTTCTTTGAGATAAATGTTTTAGAACGTCAGGTGTTATATTTCCATCAGCCATGTTCATTTCATACTGGTTCAAAATATCTGCATCTTTCATATCTTTCAATGGCATTAAAGCCGCGCTGAAAATACCAGCTATATCTGGTTCACCATTCACTTCCATTGCGTCTACAACTTCTTGGAATTGTGGTTGTAAGTTTATGAACCACCTATCCGGATTAGCTTTATGACCCCATCTCATTGTAGTTCCATAGTCTGCAGAAACAAAAGTAGGTTTGTTTCCATATTGGTTAGGTTCTGAATGAACTTTAAACAATGTTTCATTTCTATATGTTTTGTTGAAATTTAACCTTTTATTTTCACCGAGTTCAGCCAAAGATTGAACGTTATATGGTCGTAAGTAAAAAGGATTGTTGTATTTGCGTACATTATCTTTCAGTACTTCCATTCTATGCTGAATATTTTCATCTGATGTTGGAGTCTTTTGTATGTCGGCAAACATTTTTCGATATTCTTCTACTATGTCAGCCGAATTTTTTTTAGACTCTTGGAAAGATTCCATATTCACCTCATACTCTTGTTGAGGGTCAAGATTTTTCGGCTGTTCCAAATCTTCATCTAGTTCTGTGAGGTTAGTTTCCAAAGGAGGGACTTGTTCGTTTCCTTCAGGCTCTTCTAGCTGTTGTTGCTGAACTATTTCTTCCATGTCTGGTTGTATCTGAACTTCTTCCTGTTGAGTTTCTTGTACCTCATCTGCTGGCATTTCATATATTCCGAGACCGTTTTTAAAAAGTTCCCTATCTAAGTCATCCGGACTCATAAACCTTTCTTCTTTCGTTCCGTCTCTATTTTTTACGCGTTTCATGAAGAGAGTTGAATTGTCATTTAGCTCTGACACCAAATATCTCGGAGTAAATTCGTTCATGTCATTTGGATGATATGCTATTAAATCATATCCCTTAGCGAGCTTGTATTTTCCAGGTTTGAAATTATATCCCATTTGGTGCTGAACCATAAAGCTAAATAGGTTCGGGTCTGTATTTCCTTCCTTGAACTTTCTAATAGCTTCTTTATATCTGTCACTAAAGTCAAGAGTATCTGGGTAACCATATTCTTCCTTAAGCATTTTTAAGAAATCTTGGTTTCCTTGTTCTCTACTTCTTTTATGTCCTTGCTCTGTTTGTGGTTGTTGTGCTGGTTGTGGAGGTGGTTGTTGTGCAGGGTTTTGAACTGTTGGTTGCTGTGCTGGTTGTGGAGGTGGTTGTTGTGCAGGGTTTTGAACTGTTGGTTGCTGTGCTGGTTGTGGAGGTGGTTGTTGTGCTGGTTGTTGTTGTTGTTGTGGTGCTGGATTTTGAACTGTTGGTTGTTGTGTTGGTTTTGGTGCATGCCTGTGTCTGTGTCCATGTGACGATGTAAATGTTTTAGGTAGTCCTGGTGCAGGTGCTTCTCTTGGAGGGTTTGGTGGTATATAAGTTCCACTAGCTAGTATATAAGTTCCACCAGCTGGTATATAAGTTCCACCAGCTGGCACATATGTTCCATCTGCAGCATAATGTCCTACCTGACTTTTCGTTCTTAAGAAAGCATTTACTAGGTCTCTTTTGGTCTGTTGTAACTCTTTTTCTTGACTTTCCACAACAGCTGTTCTAACGGCGTCATGGGCACTTTGAACTGCCTGTCTCGTTGCTGCATCTGTTATTTTCGTCATATTTTGTGCTACTTCTTTTAACTCTTTGTCGAAACCTTCAGACTTCAGTTTCTTTCCAGATGAGAAGTCGTTCACTAGTTTCACCTTACTATGAAGAGCTTCGAAGGCGTTCTTAAAGTCAGCATTCGTTAAAGCTTCATTTGAACTGTCTTCATCCGCTTGTATTTTTGTCCTTATTGACCCTATAAGTTGGGCTGCTTTAGCGTTGGCTTGGGCGTCTAACCAGTCATTATTAGCTTTTATATATTCTGCGCTTTTCATTGCCTTTTGCATGGCTGCGTCGTTATTTTTACTTTCTTGTGCTAAGTTTTCATACTGTACGGTTTGGTTTTGCAACTGTAAAAGTTTTTCTGCCTTTACATTTGCTTCAACTTCTTTTTTATACTCATCGCTATCCATATATGTCTTCAGGGCTTTTTGTTTTATTTCTTCATCTTTCAGTACTTTATATTGAGTAGTATGGTTTTTCAAATTTATAACATCTTGTTCCATTTTTGCTACTTCTGCTGCTTTTTCTGACACTTTTTTCGCATATTCCTCTGTACTTAGTTCTTTCAGTTGTTCTTCTTTCTTCTTTTTCTCTACGTTTAACTCATTGAGTTTCTTTGTGTGTCTGTCATATTCTAGTTTCTTTTCGTTTTCACTTATTTGTTTCTGTATGTCTATGTTTGACTTTTTGACATCTGTTATTTGATTTTTGAGTGAACTCAAATTCATTTGACTTTGAGGGTTATAAGCTGTTCCGTCTGCAGCTCCACCATAGCCTGCCATTTTCGCTAAAAGTGCCGCTCTTAAACCTCCACTCTGTGCACCAATAACTCGGTTTAAAAGCATAGGGTTGCTTGACATTTGTTGCAACATAGTGGGGTCATTCAGCATTTGTTGTTGCAACTGTTGTTGTGGTGTCAGTTTTACTATTGGATGTTTCAATGCTCCCTTCCTCTTACGTATATTCTTACGTAGCTTACGTGGCATTTTAAGTGAAGTTAAAAAGCGGTTTTATACTAAACATCTTCGGGGCTAGAGGGCGCAACGCGCCTGGAAGCCCCACTACCTTTTTTTTTTCAAGTAGATGTGATTTGATTCTGTACAACTAAATATTAATATATTTAAAACATTGTAGAATTAAAATTTTTGACGATATCAATTTATAAAAAAATGCAAGCGAATCCTTTTAATAAAGCTAAGATACGATTTGCTTCACTTTGTCCACCTAGTAAAGTGTTCAACACAGGGAGCATGGACTGGGAAGCATGTGGGCTACTTGCATTAGCCGGTAAAGGCACAATTTATCTCTATAAAACTACTAAAAATGATATTTCTTTCTTATGATCCATTGAAATTCTAAATTCTAACATAACTTGCCTTAAATTCCACTATGAGCTACCTTATCTTGCAATTTCAGACGATTGCGGAAGAGTTTTGTTATGGGATTGTGAATCAGGTCTTACACTCGGAATCACTCGTCAAGTATCTGAAGCTCAGTATGTATCGGAGCTTCAATGGTCCCGTAAAATCGTTTTAGGCTTTGCAGAACCAAATACAATTTATAGTATCGATTTTTGGCCGTATGAAGCTGAAGATCAAGCGAAAAACTCACGAATACTTTGGAAGATAGATGTTCCTGGTACATATACAAGGATGGCTGTTAATAGTTCAGATATATTCACTGCAATTCTATATTCTAATGGTCCATCCTTTACAATTATCACGTCAAAGAATGCCAAGCAGGCTCCAACATCTCAATCTCAATCCCATACTTTAGATAAATCAGAAAAAATCGTAGAAATTCAACATCATCCCCATATTAGTAATATTTTATTAATTATGCTTGAAGGAAAAATACTTACGTTTAACATAGCGACCAAATCTGGCCGAAATCTTGTAATCGATGAATCATCCCAATCATCTTTCCATAAACTGCTTCCTTCTTTAACAAATGACAACGAAATTACAGTTTATGGTCAAGACTCGTCACTCAGTATCTATATCTGTAACGAAGACTACATTTTTACAAAATCAGGAACAATAAAATTGAAAAGAGAGCTGTTTGACTTAAAATCGAAGTATTTACCACTATCCGCTGCATGTAACCGTGCACTTCCCGAGCGATACATCGCGTTCTCTCCATCAAATGGCTTAGTTATGTTTGCCATAAAAGATGATATACCTTACGTCATCGCGCAGTCTCAAATTATACCACAGATACCAACCTGTTACGATTTCTACGACGGAATCCTTGCTTTCGGCACTCCAAC